TTATTATTATTATTATTATTATTATTATTATTATTATTATTATTATTATTATTATTATTATTATTATTATTATTATTATTATTATTATTATTATTATTATTATTATTATTATTATTATTATTATTATTATTATTATTATTATTATTATTATTATTATTATTATTATTATTATTATTATTATTATTATTATTATTATTATTATTATTATTATTATTATTATTATTATTATTATTATTATTATTATTATTATTATTAGAGATTCGATTCTAGAAATTTATTATCATCTGGTAATCGTCGGTAAGAAAAGTAAGCGTATCTTTAGGTTTGGTTGATTATTACAAAATAACAAAAAATTATTATCGATAATCAAGATCTTTAGGTTAACGTAATTAATATGTAATCAAAGTTTAACTATTTAGATTGATTTATAAAAAAAAACTAATGTATAATTTTTTTTTTTGACAAAAGAAAAAGAGAAGACTAATAATAATAATGCAAGAGACAAACAAGATGACGACGAAACAGAGAGAAAGACAAGCATAATAACATAAGCCAAAAAAGAAAATGAAAGAGAAAGAGGTAAAACATGTTGAAGGTAGAAAAAAATGTGGAAGCCTACAAATGGGATCAATAATAATTGGTTAAGAAGAGAGACACGTATGATATGATGGATAACAAATGCATGATGATAACAAAAAGTAGAAAGTGATGAGCGTGATGAAAAGAGGAAGGGGCAAAAGGATTCCTAAAGGATGAACGAAATAATTCCATCTAAAATTGGTTTGGATCATCTAAAATTGTAATTTTACAAATTGATTCAAGAGCCATTTGGAAATGTATAGATGTTTAAAGGAAGAGACTCATTATTCTACAAGTGAATCATCCGTTTTTTTATATATTTTTAAATAAATATGAATCCATTTATTTATTTATTTTCTCAAATTTATTTTGACTAAGCACCCTCTCCTTGTTTTCTTCTCTTGGTTTTCAATTTTATCTATCAAAATAATAAGTTTTATTTTACAATTCAACAAACTCAACACCTTTTCCAAAAATTAAGAATCGAGTTAAAAAAAAAAAGAAAAAAATGATATGGTAAATAAAACTGTGACTAAATATATAATAAAATAGCAAAATAATTTGAAAAACATGATAGCCTAACATTCAAATTATTGTGGTTTTCAAAATTAACATTCTAATGCATATAAATGCACAAAAAATCTAGTTACATTATTTTTAAAGAAAATAGTGTGATTAATATAACCCCTATTAGCTTTTGTTAGCGCATATTCGAAAGACATGAATATTGCATTCAAGTCATAAAAAAAAAAGCAATTTGAAAGTATTATATATTAAAAATAAAATAGGTAGAAAATTTAACTAAATTAAGGTTTCTTTCTTTCTTTATATATATATATAAAGAAAGAAAGAAAGAAAGAAAGCTGAGAATTATTATAGATTTGTGCAATTATATTTATTATACGTAAAAAATATTATGACTAAATCTTTTATCACTTAGTTATAATTAAATATTATAAAATATTTGAAGTCTTTAGGCATTATATTTTCATGTCTTCAAACTCATTTTATCAATTTTTAATTTTTTTAGTATTCTTTTTTATCATTGTTATTCTTTGTCATCTTGAAGTGGTTCGGTTCTCGATTCACAATTCATTGAACTAATTCTTAATGCCTTGAATCGGGCCAAGAGGTAAAAAAAAAAAAAAGACGAACCACTAAAAAGAGAAAGAAACAAAAAATAAATAAAGCACCTCATTTTTAGGGGAAAATAAAAAAAATATTAAAAAATGAGAAAAGGAACACTCTACAGTAAAAAAATGAAAAAAAAAGGGATTATTTTTAAAAGTAAGTCGAAATAAAAATTATTAGAGATAAGATACATTTATTACTAGAAACTAAAACTTAAATATTTATTTCACTTTGATATAAAAATAATAATAAAAGAAAGTTTAACATGGCCGAAAGAGAAATTCAAATATTTGCTTAGGGTATGGGTGGACTCGGATGTGTGCTCCGTGACCGACCTATAAAAAGATCGAGGTTGAGTTTGTTTTCTTATATGATCCCTTTGGATGCTCAACTATCAATAAAAGTAAATTAATTTTAGTGAACAAACCTCGATTATTATGCCTAAGGTGATTTTTTTAGTGGATTAATATGAGAAAATATTCTATGGTATGGTATGGATGAAATATTCCATATCCTATGAACTGTTATTTTATATTGGTGTCAATATCGCTTATTAGTAACATGGTCTCACCAATAGTACTATAACATGTCGAGCTACAATTGGGAGAGGATATTTTTTCTATCATTTATCCCCTTGGAAGGTGTACTTTGGGAGCTCTTTCGAATAGGTTCGAAAGTGTAGCCAAGTGTTAGCTCAGTACGTTCATGGGTGGATCAGGCAAACTCCGACGCTTGATTTGGGATGAGTGTGTTAGAAGAGGCAACACCCTAAATGATTGGACTGACTTGCCTACATCAAGCCGGCAGCTAGACTAATCTACCCCATCGGCCAACCTAATCACCTTAGGTGCTAGGTGACTTAGATGTCTTAAGTGCTATCCAACCTAGATGCCTTGGGTGCTAGCCAACTTGGATGTCTTGGGCGATGGTCAACTTGGATGCCTCGATGATGGTTGATCTCAATGCCTCAAGTGTTGGTCGATGTTCTTCTGTTGCGCATGTGATATCGCCCCTAGATTTTCCTATACGACCAGGATTATTTAGGATCTGTGTTTAAAAGTGAATCAATCTCATTATCATGATCTCATCATGATCTAATTCTCATTGCATAAATCCATGGACATTACAATATATTTATGTGATAAGTAATATAAAATAAAAAATATTATAATAATAATAAGTAAAAAGACTATGTGTCACGTCACACATATCATCACTCACGTGATTGGCTTGTATGACACCTATGACTTGCACACATGCCCCCAAATTAGGGTTATTGGCTGAGGAGAAGAAGGAGAGAGGAGTATAGGAGGTGACAGCCAAAAAAGGGTCTAGCTAATGGCCCATTTAGTTCCCTCCTATTTATAGAGGTCTTTATTAACTTAACCCTAATATATCCTGCCCTATTGGGTATTAGATTTCCATCCAACTATTGAAGCCTCTTATATTAATGGATCTCTACCCAATAATCTCTCATTGCTTCTTATTGAATATTATCCACATGATCTAATAATTCAGAGGCTTACTGGATATCCAATAAGATAGGGGCTCCAACGGATATCTTATATCCAAATCTCTACTCGTCACAACACCTATCATATGTGTATGACCTTCTAGGTCTAATATCGAACTGGTCATGAGTCATACTTGTTAAAACTCTTTCTGACTCAGTAAATCATCATCTTCATAATAATTCACTCGACTTATTGATTACAGATATACTAGGTCATTACGTCGTAGTTCTCAAATGATATAAGGAAATCCAATCCATTGGATATGTCTATCCTTAGTTACTATATATATATATTCTCTCATTCATCTAATATCCTAAAGACTGTATACAAGATATAGTATTGTTAGGTCCATATGATTTCTACTCGAGTCTCGCTCTAATCAGATTCTCCCGAAGAACTCTTTCTCTCTCAATCTGAATAACCCTAGCCAATGATTTGTCTGATCAAAAATACATATGATATTTTTTTCATAACACCGAGAATGGATGATCCTCTATCAATACTCAATTTCCCTCGTAAGATTGGCTGTCACTCCTGATGATCAATTATGCTAGATCTAAAACTCTCAAACCTATAAATCCAATATCAAAGAGTATAATATTTATACAGGACATTCTTGGTGTTTCAAATCTAAGGACCAGATAAACAACTATGACTACAAAATCAATATTGATGATAAGGTATTATCAACCATCCAACATTCCGTGAGCCGATTAATCAATGAACTCATT